CTACGCTTTTAAACATATAACTACACAAGGTTCAACCTTTGCGATGATTCAACCAGGGTTTTTCGCCAACCTGGAGTGATGTAAAGAGTCTCATCCAGCTGTAGCTCTCTTTTTAGTTCGTTCAATGCCAACTTAGCTTAACCATTCGCATGCTCTTCGTGCAATCACAGTCAACTAGATCCTTTGCTGCCTTGTTCTACATAAGTCCAATCCTTTATTTTCAATAAACTTAAATCAACTTAAAAAACATAACACGATGATTAAATTAGTAAACCCCTGAACAAGACTAGGTGGAAGAAATATTAATTATGCTGCCCACCGCCCAGTGCGGTGGTTGTTGGGTCGCCATAAGCGACGTGCTTGGTTCTTTCAACGCGTCGGATGACGAGACAACACAATGATTAGAAAAACGTTTCAGCAGCACCTTCTGTTTTCCTGTTTCCTTGTTGCGCTCCGAGTATTCCCCCTTCTTTGTCTGTGTTAGCTTCTGTCGTCATTTCTGACGGCGGTACAGTTGGCGAACCGGTAAACACTAGGAGGTCAAATAAAGTTTCAAATTCCGGTTTCTGGTTTTCTTCGAATCGAATCTTTCGAATCGAAATATGCACAAGAACTCGCCGTAACAGCACGACGCCGGGGGAACCTAATGAAATGAAGACTAATTCGAGAAAACAAATATATATGAAAGGGAGGAATGAGATGCGTTTTGATTGTTTTTCCTTTGATAAAAAACTAAAACAGAAAAACTAGTCTGTCAAGGCTTGCAATTGTGGACTGCAACAAATCAAATTGTATAAATAAAAAATGATGTAAGAAATGTAAAAGAGGAACATTTAACTGTCGTGTAATGTAATTTTGATCTAAAATCATAATCAGTGATTTTAAATCGATCGCGTGCTGCCCACCCGTTGGATTTGAACTCCAGCAACTTCAAGTACCTTTATGAAATTGAGCGCATTTTGAAACTGACTAGCAGACTAAATAGCTGTAGCACGCTCTATCAGGTATGGCACCCAATGTGTCTCTATGAGCAGAAGTGGTTACTATACCTGAGCAGCCGTAGATTTCCACCCTCATCGATATGTGATTGTGCCACTCAACAGGCATCAGGCGAATATAATGTGCTGTTATTGGTGGACTGAGTACATTTTTTACAATTGTGTTACTGTCCTGAT